CAATAAGCTCATTATTGTAAGGGTAATAATAATAGTATTAAGAGGCTTATAGTAAGAGTAGCAGTAGTACCTTGTCATTAATTCTTTGGACATCTATTTTTTCTTGACTCATGTCATCATTGTACTCCTCTTTGTTATCTGATTTTAGTCGTAATTTCATCTTTTCTTGTGTCATGCTTTTACAACCGTGCATCAAGAAGAATTGCTTGCTCTAAACCAATATCATTTTGACCCCAAAACACACATAAAAACATTTAGTTGAATATGATATATGTTTCAACTTTAGTCTCCATAAATTACTTTCGGCGCCTAGTGGGAACTAAACAATGATATTGTTTGGTCTTTGGTCATATAGGCAGGAACCTGATTCCTATTGTTTTTATCCTAATAATGGGTGTGTGTACTACGGTGGAAAACAAAATGATATTGATTGGTTGTGAGGAAGGAAGTACATACATTACTAGAGGTGTCTCTTCCTCTTTTTGGTGCTTCCTCTTCTGTATTCAGCTTGTCAAGAACCATTTGTAGTTGCTCCACCGCATCCTCGCTCTGACTAATACAGTATCCAATCCATCGACTGTAATGGTTTGAGCGTCTATCGCAGTACCTATACCAGCGTCCAGCGCAATGCCTATACCATTCCGACTGTTCATAAAGTTTATTATCTTATAGACTTGGAGAAAATAAGTTTCTAACAACACTAGAAATAATCACTATTTTGTTATTTCATATATGCTTACTTGTAGTTCTATATACTTCTCATTGGTGTGATGATAATCCCGATCGAGCTTTTGCAGTCGCTTATTTGCTTCGGCAAATGACGAACGCCCAACCCGACAAGAGCATGGTGACACCATGTTGCATGAAAGTTTCTTGAAACACTTTTCTTTAGAGTTGGATCCAATACCAACAGAAATGGATATTGTTCTGAAAGCAGAAGTTTCTAGACCATTCGCTTCGTGACTTTCCATAGCTTCTCTTATATATGTATTGTAGCAAGCAAGTTTTTATGTGGAAAACATTGGGTTCTTGTGCTGTTATATAAAGAGAAAAAAACATTGTTTTAAAAATAAAACAAATTCTTGCACCCCACTCCAAGTAAGACAACTGTACCCC